AAAAAAGCCATCGCCATACACAGATAAATTGTTAATGGCCTAAAAAAAAGGGAACGTTTGTTGGCAAGCCTTGCAGATATTAAAATGTGCATTAGTGTGGCAAAAAAAACCCAGGATGACGCATCCAATTTCTGGGCAATAACACTCATGGTACATTCGTATATTTGAAGAGCCATCAAAACTAAGTGTCTCTCCTGTTAAATGCAATTGTGAACACAGGAGACGAGTCTGACGTGGGTGTTTCCATGCGTCGCTGTGAATTCAGAATGGTGGAGCGCAAAACGAATGTACATGTGCACTGCAACTCTGGCTGAATGGCGCAGTGGTTAGAAAGATCAACTCACATTTATTGTCAATTCATCGTTTCTCCAGAAAAATTAATAACATTTTGAGAAGTCATCAGGGACCATTCTATGCATAAACTGTCCCCCCCCACCCGCCATGACAATATGGAACTTCCTTTCACTATCTGAGATACTGCCAAGGATGAACAGTAAATTCGGTGCTTGTTCAGACAGGAAGAAACGTTTAGACTATTGTTAAAAATAGATATAAAAATTACTAGCTTTTTTGCCCATCCAAGGACGGGTGTATATTGCAGTAAATCTGAAATATTAAATGGAAAAATAGTTCAGCTCATGGTTATTAATGAGGGGGGGGGGGGGGGGTTGCCCCATGTGGAGTGACGGCACCCGCTAATGGTTATTGGGGAGGGGTGCGGCATGTGCAGTGACGTCACCCGCTCATGATTATTAATGAGGGGAGGGGTGCGGCATGTGGAGTGACGTCACCCGCTCATGATTATTAATGAGGGGAGGGGTGCGGCATGTGGAGTGACGTCACCCGCTCATGATTATTAATGAGGGGAGGGGTGCGGCATGTGGAGTGGGCGACCTTATTGTGCGTTCGTGTAAATTTGCACGCGGGCATGAATATTAATGAGGGGGGGGGAATCTTTTGCAGTGACGTAACGCGCAGATGTAGCACTGTGCTGCTTAGATTATTATTATTTTTTTACCGTCAATTTCTGTAAAGAAACGTCATATGAAGCGACTTTGCGTAATACATTATTTAATTCAGCTCGACCTCTGCGTTCGTGTTAAAATCCACCCACTCATGAATATTAATGAAGGGGGTGGGCCTCATGTGGAGTGACGTCACGCGCGGGACACACATTCTAGGCTCATTATCGTACTAGCCTATAGCCCGTCCAAGGACGGGTGTATTGCAGTAAATCTGAAACTTGCAAGTGAAGGGCAGACCGTGACGTCATATTCATTGTTACCATTCGTGTGCAATTTGTAAGGCCGCGGTGGCACAGACTTATTTCATTTAAAGGTCATAATCCCTTGTTCATCATGACGTCCTTTTTACTTCGATGTCTCAACAACAGCGTTATGGAGATCACGTGACCTGAGGGTTCTGCCTTTGTAGTGAGGGTTGTAAGTTGACACTGAGGAGGGGGGAGGAGGCGCCACGCCCCCCCCATGTGGAGTGACGTCACTCATTCATGATTATTAATGAGGGGGGGGGGTCCGTCACCTGTTCATGATTATTAATGAGGTGGGCTGCTCAACGTGGAGTGACGTCACGCGTGGAACACACATTCTTGGCTCATTATATTGGTAATGAGAACCGCATGGTGATATTCTACGGCCGCGAAACCGATTTCATTACACATCTCTGCGTAGTCTGAGCACGTTCGAACACTGAAGCTGCTAACACGGCAGAAACTTTCAAAATTTCGACGGCCGAACTCGGCCAACTCAAGCAAACAAAATCGCATCGACTCGAAGGGCGCCTCTACAAGGGCTGTCGCACCAAGAGCAACGACCTCCGCAGAGCAAGCATTCGTATTTCCCTTTTATTGGGAAGTAAAGGGGTAGCTGCGTTTATTTTCTGTTTCCAGGGAAAACAGGTGCTTCCTGGTTTTTTTTTTTCCAAGCAAAAGCACACATGTCGAGAGGCTGTTGTGCTCATTACAGTTCTCTTTACATTCCCTCCCCTTGCTCCGCCGACTTCCTTCAACCGAAGTTGTCGTCTGTTTTTCCAACGTTTAGAGATTACGGGCGCAATTTTGGAAGCATTCTCCTGTGATCGTACTTGCGCAACACGAGTTGTGTTCGTACAGCACACAAATAGGGTCACGACTCAATATTCTGTCGAGGAACAGCGGGCATTTTTTTTCCTTAGAGAGAGAGGCAGTCACAGTCTGTCGCAGGTGAAGGATAACAGGAAGACATTGAGCCTGGAGGTGAACCGGAGCAGCAAGTCGACAGCTTTGATAGCTGGGGGAATTGAGTCCCGACCTATGCAGCAGCTACCACAGGAGAATCGGTGAACCTCCCACTCGGCACAGGTTAAGTTGTTGAGAAGATGGAGGCATAAGGTATGGATATATATTGAACTGCTTTAGTACCATACGTTGCCAACCGTGTTAATCAGAGGTCGTGCAAAGTTGAGATGTGGGGAATACCAATGAGGGGTCAGGATCAACAGCAACTCCAAGGTTTCGAACACTTTTGGCCATTGAGATGTCAGAGTATGGGAGGTGAACACTCAAATCTGTCTTCTTTCCTGAGGAGGCGGCATTTTTTTGGTCTCGATGGTCCATCGCTCACTCAGGTCCGCCAGCCACTGGCGTTTGAGCAATCAGACACACCATCGTAGTGTCTTGAGTCTAACGGCAGCTTTAGTTGTGGCTGCAAGGAAATCAAATGGCAAGCGCTGTTAGACTTCATGACCGGAAAGTAAAATGTGCATTCACAATGTTCAGTGGAGTCTCGTGCTCCTACTGTACAGGTCACCCTGTTGAGATTTTTTTTGTTTTATGAAACAACCATTTATACTGATGACGGTTGCTTGTATTGCAATCGAAATATCGAATTCTATTATTTTATTTATTCTATTTTCTACGTGACTTTACCGAAAGAACCAAAGAGTAATTCCTGCAGTCACGAAAGCTTCAAATCAAGTTTGAACCACCTCTACGGGGAGTATGTAAGTTTGTTTTCTCTCTGTGTGTGTGTCTGAGGATGTAAGTTTGTTTTCTCTTTCTCTGTGTCTCTGTTCGCGTATATAATTACAATACCCCCCCCCTCCGCCTCTAATCACTGCACCTGATATGAGTTAAGTGATGACGTCACGCTGCTGCTCTATATAAAACCGGGAGCAAGCGAGGGCTTTACCATTCTGGCGAATTGCCCGATGACGCTGGATGTAATTACCAGCAAAACGTCGTACTCAAACTGTAAATGCGGATTAACTCTTCAACACACCGGTGGGCTGAAGTAGTGAATTATTTGTCTTTTGTCAACGTGACACTTTTTTTGCTGATTGGCCGTGTCGGGTGGTGGAGGGTTACGACACATTTATAAATAAACGCGATCTAACCCAAAAACCTTTATTATGAATTTCACACTTAACTTCTAATTTTAGCCATCTTTGGAGATCGTAATCAACCAGGCTATGCGTTAACTGTGTTAGCCGACTCTCTGTTTTGCATTGCATTACATAAAAAAATTACAAAATTTGTTTTCTCAAACTGCCTATTTCCCTCTCTCTGAAATTTACCAGGCTCTCATTGGTCCATTCGCTCTTTCTCTCCCTAGGACGCTTCGGGGTGGATTTCCACACAACTCTCTCTAAAATGTACCAGTCTTGTTGGGTCTTTCATTGACGTGCTAATTTCTCTGCCCCAGCAGCTGCTCCAGCAGAACCACCTCTCTCTCTCTGCCCCCCCCCCCCTCTCTTTCTATTTAAGGCCTCGACACGGAGGCATTGGGTCTCTGTGTGTCTATGTTGTGTGTCTGTCTCTGTCTCTTTCTGCTTGTGTGTCTCTGTGTGTCTCCGTGTCTGTTTTGTCTCTCTCAAATTTAGTTCTACCTGATGACGGTTGAGTGCAATCGAAACATCGTATTCTATTATTTAATTTAATTTATTTCTACGTGACTTTACCGAAAGAACCAAAGAGTAATACATATAATACACACAACAACCCAACACATGTAACAATACATACAATATACACACACAAACCTAACACTATAGACATATCTGAAATCTGAAACAGGAAATAGAAAATGACAATTTTCAAACCTTTATCAATCCACTGCTAGATGATAGCCTCCCCAAGCCACAGCGGTCATGGGGGTAGTTTGACCCTACTTCACCACGCTGGTCAGTGAATGTTGTTGAAGGTAAGGGCGGGCAGCCGGGATCGATTCAGAGATCGCTCAATTCTCATATAAACTGGCCAGGTCAGCAGGTTCGTGGTGCACTGTGTTAACCACTGCCCCACCACTCCGCGGCAAATAAGCCGTACTAAAAATACCCCATACGCCTCGTTGAATTTGCCGCTGTTCGCAATAGCCATGCTTCCTTTCTGCCTGCTGGGTATACGCGCACGGCTGAGCACCTGTGCAAAAAAAAAATGTGCTCACGTCCTGGTATTCCACTGGACACATCGTGTGCACCCTTTTGTGCTTATGCTTTTTGTCTTTTAGCTTGTTGTCCTTCCCCCGCACCTCCGATTAGCTCGGTTGGCTACATACGGTGCGAGAAAAGTTCAGCATACACGCATCCCCACTGATTGCCATGCCAATACTGTATGGACTTACACTGGATTCCACGCAAGGACGATATGAACATAGACGCTTTGGATTATTTCCTGCAACCGCATTTGGTTGTGGTCTCGTTGGCACTGGTTTGTTGACTGTGTTCATGTGAAACTGCTCCACACTTTCTAATGTCACATATGACCTGAGCGTTGGAGACAGTTTCGTGTTACAGCAACTCTTACTGATTTTTCCACTTTGTTTTTTTTTCCTAATCCACGTATCGCTTCAAAATTACACCTCTAGTCTCCAGCACTTTCTGATAGCACCTCAAACAGCTATATAGGGTGAGATACCAGATCTTTGTCCGTGTGTGTGTGTGTGTTATCCCACCAGTCTGTATATGCTGTATCGGAATCTTTGTTTTTCTTTGTGTATCCACAGTGCTAGAAATATATCCCAAGAGCTGCACATGCCAGGGGAAGGAGTTGGACTGCGATGGCTTAAACTTACGCTCCATTCCCAACGCTCCACCCAACATCACAGTCTTGTAAGTTCAACATTCACGTCTCTCTACTCAGTGGAATTGTCAGTAACTTATTCAGATAAGACCAAGCCTGCAACGTTCACAATATTCAAATTGTTTATTAATAATAAATCATAATTAATTTTGCCTGTAACAATTTACTCCCTCACGATTAATGTAATGATCACCATTCAGGATCACGATTTTATCCAATAATCAATTCTTTAAAAATGTGGTGTACATCCGATTAGCATGGTTGGCTACGTATGACGCGAAATAAATTCAACATACATACATAGTGGCTGCAGGGGTCATATGAACACATTTCATTCGACATGTACACAAATTAAATCTTATAATTTCGAACCTGCACAATTCGAAATGTATATTGTGAGTGTTAGAATTAATGACGTGTTAATAATTGTGATTGTGACACCCGAATTGTTGGAGCTTGAATCTTTATTCCACTTCTAGTTTTCGTGTCTTCTGAATCAGAATCTTTATCCTGGAGAAACCCGATGAGCTATGAGGCTCTTTTTCACCGATGTCCAGTGAAGAATGTGTGCTCATATTAGATTGCACCTGCGTTCTAAACATATATGCGAAGGCATTTCCTTGCCCGAAACAAACATTGCAGCGGTGCCTAATTTTCATTATCAGCACAAAGCTGGTGGTGGAAATTCCACATTCTCATTTGTGAGGGGAATATATATCCATAGAACAACCAATGTTGGTGGCGTACAAAGTGTTTCCCATTTTAAGGACCTTTGTAGGGATTATGGGTTGTGTCCACCCAAGCCAGGTTTGGCAGTCACGCAGTTTTACCACAGTGCCACCTGGCCACACACGGTACAATTGGGCTTCACCATCACGTGGAATTCAGAAAATTCCAGGCAAAGCTTGTGCCTAGACATTCTCTGTGCTAGATCTAGCGTTATAATGAAGGTTCACAGTGTTGCTTGGGCTGAAAACTGCTTATAGCTCCAGTTATGAGACTTTGAACAAGTGATGAAAAACAATAGTCCCTCGCAATTTGCTACGAATGTTGTGGTCTCATCAAAGCCAGTGACCGACTGCAGATGAATAATTCATGTTTTTTTGTATAACGTATATTTTTTTCTTTCTGTGATCTGATCAAGTAGCACTGTGGTTTATGATGACTTTCAAACCACAAACATTGTTGAGTATTGAAATACATCAGTCCTTTTCAGGTTAGAAGTCCTATTAACCCTTGGCTTTTGATATAAGTGAGTAGTTTTTCAAATGATTATATGCGAATGAAAACAAACTATACTTTTTTTTTTTACATATCCCACATTTCAAAACAGAACATTATCCAAATCTAGGTTTACTTCTGCAGTCAGTGGTAATGAGAGGGAGGAGCTAGATAATGTAAAACATGTAAACTAGACATAAATACATCAATTGTTTATCTCTGTATAATGGGGGTGAAGATGTAGAATGAGGCCATTGTTCTACACAGATATGCGGAAAACACGTTACATACATACAATCATTACGCACTAAGGGAAAATACTAATTAGCGTTAAATACTGAACACAATGTAGACAAATTGATAACAACTTTATTTAGGTAAAGCGCCATATGTTTGTGTAACATAAAGTAATCGCTCAGTTTTACACCAATGTTAAGTCTTTTTCATGAATTGTTAAAACCAAGCATTAGTATTTTACTTACCACAATGTTTGTGGCCTTGTGGGCACTCAGTCACTGACCATGAACAATTCTGGATGAGCTAATAACAGAACCAGACGTGGAATAACCCAGTAACACAGTTAATGAGCCAACATGATAATGTGCCCACTGATAACCAATCTGTCCAGATTATCAATCTAATTCTAGAAAAGGGATATTACTTACAAACACCAGCTTTTAGAAACTACCTTAGACTATTGTAGACTAATGAAAAGCCATTCAATTATGCAGAAACTCATGTAGCCATGCTGAATGCCAGTCGTGCTGATTGGAGTCACGGTGAACACTATGCAAGGGGTGTTTTCAATGCTGAAGTGGCCAACTATCCCAAGTAACCAAGTTGCCAAGGAGTGCTCTCAAAATTAGGAAATGGTCAAATATCCCAAGTAGCCAAGGGGTGCTCTCAATGACGATGTGGCCAAATATCCCAAGCACCCATGGGGTACTCTCAATGAGGAAGTGCCCAAATTTTCCATTTTGACAACGGGTGCTTTCCATGATGAAGTGTCCAAAAATCCCAAGTCAACTGGTAACAAGGCAGTGCTCTCAAAATGAAGTGGCCAAATATCCCAAGTAGCCAAAGAGTGTTCTCAAAATTAGGAAGTGGCCAAATATTCCAAGGAGCCAAGGGTGCTCTCAATGACGACGTGGACAAATATCCCAAGTAGCCAATGGGTGCTCTCAAAATTAGGAAGTGGCCAACTATCCCAAGTAACCAAGTTACCAAGGAGTGCTCTCAAAATGAGTAAGTGGCCAAATATCCCAAGCACCCAAGGGGTACTCTCAATGAGGAAGTGGTCAAGTTGACAACGGGTGCTTTCCATGATGAAGTGTCCAAAAATCCCAAGTAAACTGGTAACGAGGCAGTGCTCTCAAAATGAAGTGGCCAAATATCCCAAGTAGCCAAAGAGTGTTCTCAAAATTAGGAAGTGTCCAAATATCCTAAGGAGCCAAGGGGTGCTCTCAAAATTAGCAAGAGGCCAAATTTCCCAAGTAGCCAAGTAGCCAATGGGTGCTCTCAATTATGAAATAGCCAAATTTCGCAAGTAGACAAGTAAGTGGTACTCTTAATGATGAAGTGGTCAAATGTCCCAAGTAGCAACGTAGCTGCAGGGTGTTCTCAATGAGGAAGTGGACAAATATCCCAAGTAGCCAAGTATCCAAGGGTGCTCTCAAAATGAGGAAGTTGCTAAATATCCCAAGTAGCCAAGTAGCCAAGGAGTGCTCTCAATGAGGAAGTTGCTAAATATCCCAAGTAGCCAAGTATCCAAGGGTGCTCTCAATGAGGAAGTGGCCAAATATCCCAAGTAGCCATGGGGTGCTCTCAGTGATGACGTGGACAAATATCCCAAGTAGCCAAGTAGCAACAGGGTGCTCAATGACGACGAGGCCAAATATCCAAAGTATCCAAGGAGCAAAGAAAGTGCTCTTCATAATGAATTGGCCAAATATCCCAAGTAGCCTAGTATGCAAGGGTGCTCTAAAAATGAGGAAGTTGCTAAATTTCCCAAGGTGCCAAGTAGCCAGGGGGTGCTCTCAATGAGGAAGTTGCTTCAAACCCGGTATTTTCAGCTATCATAACAAGGAAGTCCGTGAATTGCGACTGGTACAGAGCCGTTGCCTATCGCTGATCACACGGAGCCTTCAACGACAAACGTTTTACTTTTGACGTTTTGTCGGTGCGGAATTCGATCGACAACGAATGGTCACCGAATAGTCACGATAATTGACATCATTGGACGCACGGCATTCGAGGCGTAGCTAAATCAATGTGTCGCTCTGTTTAAATGAAACATAGGGCAGTGCTTATCTCTAGTGGTGGCACCTGAACAAGTGCCTGATATACCATATTCCCATGGCTGGGCCCAGTCTATCCACACCAGATGACCACTGATGGCTTCCCACAAATTGGTGATCACTTTATTGACCCCGGACAGATGATAGGCTGTTCGCCGTTTTGATCTCTCGGCGCGGCAGTTGAAACAATGGGCACATTTCTTCAATCCCCCCCCCCCCATCTCTGTCCTCCCAGCAGTCCATCCAATGGGTGCACCGCAGTTAGTCCTCTGTCCTGTCTGCAGTCCATCCAATGGGCGCACCACAGTTAGTCGATCAGCAGATTGCGTGTAATTGTGGGTAAAGTGTGAGTATTCCCACCTCTTCCAAGACATCTGGTCAGCACGAAAGAGTTGACCGATTGCCTCTACAGGAACTCTGGAGACCTCTGTCTGGTTGAGTGTCCCATGCCAGCAGTGGCTTGAGCAAAGCTGTCGCAGAGCCGCACGCGTTTTAACTTTAACATTTATATCATTCAAAAGTAAACATTAATCTTTCACTTTTAATTTGGGCCATGACATAAATTCGTTTGCTGTATAATTTTTACGTAATTCATTGACTGTGCAAGTAGCAAAATATTTGTCTTTGCTCCTAGTGAAAAGAGTGGAAGGGGGGAAAAATGTGTATAGCCTCGGTGCTCATGATGGTTAATGTTCCATATTTGTTAACTACTGAAAATAAAAATGCTAAGCCCACGCCTGTAAAAAGTTTACAAGTCTCTGCACACTTGTGCGTTTTAATGCTTACTATCCTTACAAAATGCTGCATTATGTTATAGAATTGGTATGCAATTCATGCAGTGCCAAATGTAGTTAGGGGCTGTTAAATTTGGGAACACACAAGGGAACATTTTTTTAAAGGACACAGAAGAGAAGAGTTTAGCGGCGGTGATGGCGGTGGGGTCTCGGTGTAGGTGCATCTGGGACTGATTATTCATTCTTGTCTTATTACCGTCCTAGGAGGTGTTACATTTTTTTAGTAGTTTGTGCCTCTTAAAATCGCCATAGTGTACGTGCAGCACCCTGTGGCAAGCAAGCATATCCAGCCACGTGCCTCTGTGGTAGGGAACTCGACTCGCAATCGGAAGGGTGCGAACGTACGTAAAGCCTAGTCGGTGTTCAACTCGCGGTTGAATGCGGAATTTTCACAACTGGCCCAGAGCTGCCCAGTGAAGACGACCGTTGCCCAGTATCCATGGTGACATAACTCGGCGGTAACGTGCTCACCACTGTGCTGCAAAGGTTCGCGGTTCCAATCCGGCAGGCCGCCCTAGTTATTACTGCGGTGGTTTATTAACCACAATGTGCACGCCATCCGCTTCACAGTGGACGTTAAAGATCCCCTGACGTCATTGGACATGAGTGGGGCATTGTGTGCCGGCGTCATGGAGCAACCCACAAATTACTCAATTAGGATTCGACCGAAGCAACAGTGCCCACCACTGTGAAACGACTGCAAATGATGTCACATGA